TTTCTCTTTACATGAATCTGCGATGCTAAACGCGCCGCAAATCGACTATAATGATGTCGATCTGACGACGACGAGCTGTGTTCGACGTCTCTGAACGCCAGAACCAGGAGAATTCTCCTGGAATTCTTGCGCGCCCGGTGCAGAATTCCACGAAATTTTTTGTGGCGAGATTCTGACGCCGCCACCACTTTTGACGCCATGCCGTCGTAGCTGGACATCCAGCTTTGACGGTATGGCTGAAAATGTGACATGGGGCAAAAATGTGACATGTGCCCACGTCACATTTTTACCGCGGGGGTATGGTCCAAAATGTGCCATCTGCCCACTTTTTGTGACATTTCGCGAACCACGAGGGCACGGTCCAAAATGTGACGCCAAGGCTGTTTTTTATAAAAAACAAGAAGCAAGATGCTCTTACTTCTTCTCTTTTATAAAAAACAGCGCTGGCGTCACATTTTGGACCGTACCCTCGTGATTAGGCAAATGTCACATTTTTTGGTCAGATGGCACATTTTGGACCATACCCTCGTGGTAAAAATGTGACGTGGGGAAGTGTCACACTTTCGCATGATGTCACATTTTCGCATGATGTCACATTTTCAGCCATACCGTCTCGCTGCTATTGGTGTCGCGGAAACGCATAGCAATGCGCCTTTTTGGCTTTTTTTAGTGTAGAGGGCCAGGGCCGGGCGTGGGCTTCGGGGCCGAGCTGCCTCGGCGGCCTTGGGGGCCCGCTTCCCCGGGTGCCGCCGCGCTGCCCCGGCGCCGACCGGAGGCCCGCCGCCCGAATTCCCCGGCGCCTCTGGGCCCCTGCTTCTCGGGCTCTTCCGGGGCTTTCGGGGCCCGGTTGCCCGCCCGCAAAGCTCTTGGAGGGCGAAAGAGCTGTCTTTCGTTCTCCCCCGAGGGGGAAGTGGAACTTTCGCAGCTTCAAGGCTGCGAAGGTTCCAGTTCCCGCTCGACAAAACTGGGGCAGGATTTGAAAAGGTATGGCCTTCTCGCACCTCTTCACCCTCAAGGTGGCGACCACGCCAACAAAAACAGCGCGTCCAGTTTTGCCGAGCGGGAGCTGGAACCTTCGCAGCTTCGGGGCTGCGAAAGTTCCAGCCCCCGGTCTTTAGAGAACGCAGAAGCTGCGTGCCGTTCTCCCCCGAGCGGGGGCTGGAACCTTCGCAGCTTCAAGGCTGCGAAAGTTCCAGTTCCCGCTCGACAAAACTGGAAAAGTGTTGCACTTTTCCGAGTTTTGTCGAGCGGGAACTGGAACGTTCGCAGCTCGAAGGCTGCGAAAGTTCCAGCTCCCGCGCGGCAAAACTGGAAAAAGATTGCCGGGCGCCGCAGTGGTTCCAGTTTTATCGGGCGGGAGCTGGCGCTTTCGCAGCTGGAAGGTTGCGAAAGTTCCAGTTCCCGCTCGACAAAACTGGAAAAAGATAGATTGGGAGCGCTGCAGTGGTTCCAGTTTTGCCGAGCGGGAGCTGGAGCCTTCGCAGCTGGAAGGGTGCGAAAGCCCCAGTTCCCCCGCGACAAAACTAGGAAAAGACTGGGAGTCAGTGCTGCACCGGGTCCAGTTTTGTCGAGCGGGAGCTGGAGCGTTCGCAGCTTCAAGGCTGCGGAAGCTCCCGCTCCCGCTCGATAAAACTGCGAGAGACGCTCCTCCGGGCTAGGGGGCCCCGCTTCTCATTGTTGCCCCGCGCAGTTTCGCCGCGTTTCTCGATGTTCTCCGAGCCTGGGGGCCCCGTTCCCCAGTGTTGCCCGGCGCCTTTGGGCCGCGTTTCTCGGTGTTTCTCCGAGCTTGGGGGCCCCGTTTCTCAATGTTGCCCCGCGCCTGGGGGCCCCGCTTCTCAATGTTTCCCCTTGTTTGGGGGCCGCGTTTCCCGATGTGCCTCCGCGCCTGGGGGCCCCGTTTCTCAATGTTGGCACGCGCGGAAAGGAAACTATGCAAACATTGAGAAACGGGGCCCCCAAGGCGCGAAGGCACAGCGAGAGACGCGGCCCCCAGGCGCGGAGCAACGTTGAGGAACGGGGCCCCCAGGCGCGGAGAAACATTGAGAAACGGGGCCCCCAAGCGCGGAGAAACATTGAGAAACGGGGCCCCCAAGCGCGGAGAAACATCGAGAGGCGCCCGTGGCCCCAAGGCGCGGAGAACCATCGCGAAACGGGGCCCCCAAGCGCGGAGAAGCTCGGTCTGGGCCAATTTGCGTTGCAGGCTTGTCCGGATTCAGTTTCGGGCAGTTTTGCAATGGAAATTGGCCAAGATGAGGCCAATTTGCATTGCAGGCATGCCCGGATTCAGTTTCAGGCAATTTTGCAATGCAAATTGGCCAAGATGAGGCCAGTTTGCATTGCGGGCCTGCCCGGATTCAGTTTCCGGCAGTTTTGCAATGCAAAGTGGCCAAGATGGGGCCAAGTTTCATTGCAGGCTTGCCCGGATTCAGCTTCAGGCAATTTCGCGATGCAAACTGGCCAAAATGGGGCCAATTTGCATTGCAGGCTTGCCCGGATTCAGATTCAGGCAGTTTTGCAATGCAAATTGGCCAAGGTGAGGCCAATTTGCTGGATTTGTCATGCAGATTGGACCAAAGAGCCAATCTTCGTGACAAATCTGCATCACATTTACTGGCTCTTTTGCTGGTCCGGGCTTCGATACAACTCCAATCTTTTGGAGTTGTATCGAAATCCGGACCACCAAAAGAGCCAGGTATTGTTTTCCCAAAAGAGCCACGGGCCCTCACAGTTTGGGAAATCTGTAAGGCAAATCTGCCCAGATTTGTCATGCAAAATGGCCACCCGGGGCCGATTTGCATCGCCCGCCCGCGGGGAGCCCTTTCTGGGGACATTTTGTGTTGCCCCTGCCCACCCGACCGGATTTGGGCATCGGGCGCATTTGCAATGCAAATGATCCCAGATCTGGCATGCAAATTGGCCAACCGGGGCCACCCGGGCCAATTGGCGTGGCAGCCCGCGGGCCGCCTCGAACCATGGACGAGTTTGTCATGCAAAATCCCCTTTAGGGGCAATTTGCATGACAAACTCGCTGGGCGGGTGCCCGCGAGGACAGGTTGCATCGCAAATCCGCCTCCTCGCACGGAGGCCATCGCGAAGTTGCAGCTCAGCCTCCAGGCTGAGCTGCAACTTTGCTCCCGGGGAGCGCAAGTGGTCGGTGCTGGAGCCAGTGAAGAGCCACTGGCTCAAACAGTCGGGCGCCTGCCTTTGGGGGTTCCGGATTTGTCATGAAGATTGGCCCAGAGAGCCAATCTTCATGACAAACCTTACTGACAAATCTGCGTCACATTTACTGGTTCTTTTGCTGGTCCGGGCTTCGATACAACTCCAAACTTTTGGAGTTGCATCGAAATCCGGACCACCAAAAGAACCACATGTTGTTTTCCCAAAAGAACCAGTGGTTCTCACAGTATAATAAAACAAGAGTACAAGTAGTTGTATTTTTCTAGTGATCCACTTACCAAACCACAGAAAAAATAGGGAAACTTGGCGACTTTTTCGGATTAAAGAAATTTTTAAAAAAGTGGGGGACTGGAAATCGGGGTCATTTTCCATTTTTTTCTGGTGTGTGTATGTAAGTAGAAAATGATTCACATCCATGCTATCTTTGAAAGGTCAGACGTGTGGAATTTTGCGCTTTTTTTGTAACGCTGTGCAGAATCGTACTCATGTGGACCCTTCTCGAACATCCTGGGGCCTTACTGTAAAGGATCCCCCCCCCCAAGGCCCCCCTTGGCCTTATAAAAGCGACCCCCAAGGGCCTTATACTGGGGCCCCCTAGGGGCCCTATGGCCTTGGCCTTGCTGCCCGGGACCCCCAAACGTCGCACTGGGTACCCCCCTCCCCCATACCTTCCAGATGCGGGCCGCGGTCGGTATCTCCGTGCGGCACTCGTCTTTTAAGGGTCGAAATCACGCACGGCCCCCTGTGCGCCACCCTTGTCCACTGGGCTGCGCAATGCGGCCGCTGCCAGCGATTTACCGCCCGCGCCCGGCTCTCGCCAGCGGTCCAGGGCGTAGTATAGCAAGCAAATCGCCCGCCAACCGGCAACGCGGGCGGTCGGGACAGGGGGTCGCGCCCTTGCGTCCTGCGTTCTTTCGTTTTAATTGTCTATGCGACGTAGGCTGTGCTTTTCCGCGTTTCGCGCGGGCGGCCCGGGCATGGGGCCAATCGCCGTCGCAGTTCTTCTCGGTTGACCGAGCGACACATACGTGTACCGATAAACCTGCAAGCCTGGATCGCGAGCGATTTTTACGTAGGACGGTCTGGAGGACACGTCTCCGCGGGCGCTTGTGCCCGCCCATCGGCTACCGCTCCGTGGCTTCGTACAGCAAGACCGGCGTGTGTCCTGGTGTGTTGGTTTTCGGCCAGCGGCATCGAGTCAAATACCTATACCGGAGCGAGGCTGCGTTCGACATCGCCGGACCGTAGTCGCTTCCTGTTGAAGTACTGACAGTTTCGAAATTGCAGGGTGGTCGCGCTTGGGAGAGGCCATCTGGCTGCGAGTAGTTTCGTTATTCTCGTTCACAGCACGGTCTGCCTCGCATGCGCGGGAACAGTCCGGTAGAAGCCCTAAGGCCCTAGTCGTTATTCTCGTTCGGTGCCAGCTTTTCGTGCCTGGGTCGTCCCCAGGGAAAGGAGATAGAGTCTTCGCGCCTTAATACTGCCGTTTCGTGAGAGAACTGCTCAGAAGAGACTTTGCGACAGAAAACGAGCGCGAGCAGTACCGCTCGGCCGTTGGAACTAATTCTTGACTGTCGGCGATGCTTGCAATTTTGATTCTGATAGAAGTGACTGGTCGAAGAGGTTGATCTACGTGAGCAACAGCAGCCAGGGAGCAGAAAAACGCAAACAAAATGGTGCTCGAGGACCGTGGAGTGCTGTATGCCATGAAGCCCGCCGGCTCGACGAAGGCAGAGTACCAAAACCTTGCGGACAACTACAACTGTACTCGGAAGCGCGTATTCGGAATCGACACAAATGTATTGCTTTCCCCTTCTTGCGTTCGCCCTAAGTAGGTGTGCGAACTGTCTGGTGCGTCTTGTTTTAGTGCGAAGTGTCTAGTGCACGATTTTACTTCTTGCGACGCCGCCGGGGAACAAGGAGGTGGGACTGCGTCATTTCATCTAGGTCATCAATTCAAAACGGAAAACTCGATCAGGTAGGAACCTTCAACATGAATACAAACCGGGCCACATCAAGCGCTTGCAAAGGACTGCACCCACGAGGTAGCGTCATTTTGATTTTGGTGTACGCTTTTCTCTGAGAATGTTGTTTTCCTGCTTTCATGAAAGAAACTGCTGCCATCGCCATTTGGAATTTTGTGAAGCATGCACCACAAAAATCAGGCGAATACGACAAGGGGACGCAAACCGTAAGGCCAACAGTCATCGAAGAGGGCATGACAAGAAATGGGTGGCCAGCCGCGGTAAGCTTTTCTTCTGTGTTGCGTTATGAAATTATGAACCACCTTACTCTGTAGCATTTTTGCATTTGGATTCTGCTGATCATGAAGAACAACGAAAATTCTTATCAGGTCCGCGGGGGGCACATTATGAACCACATAGAGCCGAGCGACTCGCAGGTCCGAAAGCACGGCGGGCTGGATCGCAACATTGCTGGCGACTACACGGTGCGGGATCCGACTTCGTTCTACATCGGATACGACAGCACGCACTACGGTGGCAACGTTGGCTCACGGAATCGGCTGCAGTACAACCCAAAATGATAACTGCTGGTGCCCGCTAGCGCTGCTCTTCGAAAGATCGCTTTGGTGACTTGTGACACTACTTCCGCAAATCAATGCACAAAACGCTTGACCGTATTTCAGTAAATGTACAGGAACTTGATGCCGTTGAGAGGTGTTGAGATGTTTACCAACACCTAGTGCGCTCGTTTATCGCGATCGTTTTCGTTTTCTAATGTGCTCAGAAAAACTCGCACTCTCACGGCCAAGTTGCGAAATTTTGGATGACGAAAGTATTACCCTGTTGGCGACAGGACGGACTTGCGGAACTTTGTATGATTGTAACAAATTTGAACTGAAATTAAAACCTGTAAAAGAGTAGACACCGATTGACTGACTGCTATGCGGCGCGCATTGGGGAAACGAATCTTGGTTTTCCGCCCATATCCGAAATGAGAGCCTGCCTGTTCTTGCTATTCTCTTGGAGCGTAGAAAAGCGGCGGAACTACCTGGAACTTTGGCCGTTAAAGTACATGTCAGATGAAAGTACTGGTCCACCGAGGGCTTATACAAAAATAAAAAAACTTCCAGGCTAATATCGCGTGCGAGAAATCCGTTGCGTGTATACAGTCTATCTTTGACGAATAGCGTACGTAGTGTGAAAAACCTTTCATCACACCATGGGTGCGCAAGTGAGCCAGGGGCTCGACGCGGTGCTGTTCCAGCCCCCGGAAAGGGGCGCGGAGCAGCCCGCAGGTCAACCAAGTGCGACTGTACCTGGGCGCATAGGCGGCGAAAAGAACTTTGTGACAATCCAGACCCGATTAGGCGGCCACATCACCGCATACTCGTGGAACATCGGGGCGCGGGATACGATCCTATTCTCCCACGCCAACGCGGAGGACTTGTCCTGCTGCGTGGACTTTATCCAGCGCATCGCCCGGTACTTGCGCGTCAACGTCTTTGCCTACGACTACGAGGGGTATGGGACTTCGACCGGGAAAGCCAGCGAGTCCGCCCTGTATGCCGATATAGAAGCTGCATACACCTATCTCAGGTACTGGGTAAAAGACGGATTTTTTTTTTCCTGTACGAAAGACTATCAGCTGCATTTGTGCCAATTGGAGATCTCGATGCGCACGTGCTACTTGTCTTTGTACGAACAAAACATCAAAAAATCACCTAAATACTCCTCCAGGGAAGTGGTCGGCGTCCCGTGGGAGCACATCATTCTGTACGGCCGGTCCATTGGCACCGGGCCCACCGTGCACCTGGCTGCCTCTGCGCCGGTGCGCGGCGTTATTGCGAGGAAAAATCCCCCCTCCCCATATCAAAACGAAACTTCTGATGCTGGATTTGCGTGCACAAATCAGCCTTGTCTTGCAGCAGAGAACTGCAGCCCCTCCATAGCAAGCCTGCGCGGCGAGGTTTTAGCCTAGGCGCTCAGCATGACAAAAGCCTATGCCGTAGGCCCAACAGCATCGCAAACCGCTGGCATAATGCGGGAAGTCTTTTGGGTTTGCCTCCTTATGCAAGACAGAGACGATTTGTGATCACAAATAAGCATCACAAATTTCCAAAAATGTACCTTTTGAATATGGGGAGGGGGGATTTTTCCGCACAATAGGCGTGATTTTGCAAGCCCCGATGGCCAGCATCTACCGCATTATCCTGAGTAAAAACGTCCCCACACCAGAGTTGTAATGCAAATCTGCATGCCAAAAAAGTTTCTCATGCGGAGCCCCATGAGAAGCATTTTCTAGTCGTGTTTTTGAGTTTGTGATGCTAGAATGAGCATGATATGCTAGATCTGTGATGCTGCTGAACTAGCGAAACAGGATCATACTAGGAGGGCAAACCTGTCATGCGAAACAGCGAAAGCTGGTTGATTTGTCTAGCCGATTTCCCATCTTGACTCTGGTGTGGGTACGTTTTTACTCAGGATACGCATTGTGTTTGATTTTCGCTTCACGATGTGGGGCGATCAGTTTGCGAACATTGACAAAATCGCGCGCGTCGCCAGCCCGGTCTGCATTGTGCACGGCATTGCGGACGAGATCGTCCCGGTATGGCACGGTGTAGAGCTGTGGAAGAAATTGCAGCGGCCGGTGGAACCGCTGTGGGTTCCGAACGGCGACCACAACGCGTTGGACCACGAGATGCTGTTGCGCAGGGTGAAACTTTTTCTCGTCGAACTTGAGCACATGGGGTTTTCCGAGAACCAGCTGAAGCAGGCACTACAGGAAACGGAAGAGATCGAGCGCTTGAAGTCCGACATGGACGGAACTGGAGACTTGATGTTCACCACCACGGGCGGCGGGGAGACCACTTCTGCGATGCAGCCGGAGTCCGCTCCTTCGTCAAGAACTTCTTCGAGCAGCCGACGATCGGAAGGGAGTCGCGAGCCGCGGGAGCGCTCAGAACTGATACTGCGGATCCACGGCGGGAGAGACAGTTTTTCGGAAGTACGTGCCAACTCACCGCACAATTCCTCCGAGAGCAGCGGAAGAAGCATTCGCGTCGGCACCTCCGTGGTCGCACGGAACCGCGCCAGCGTGCTGGCGTATCTCGAACAGCAGGAGCACGCTGCTTCCATGGAGGAGGCGGCTTTGGCTGCGGCAGAGCTGCTGGAGGGACCAAATAATAGCAGGAGGGGGAGCAGAGTGGTGACAAGAACGGAAATGCAAAGGGTGCCGCTGCGTCCGTGAAGAGAATTTGTTGCAAAATTCTCGGCTGGGCAACCTACTGCGTTTCCTCATTTGTGGCGAACTCCTGTTCTCTCGGCGCCGCAACGTCGAACTTTGCAATCATGAGGAGGCCGCACTGAACAAGAGGAAATCTACAGGACCACGAGGAAGAGGCCAACGTAGCGAGAAACTTCCGATACAGTTACAGACGGGAAGAGGGTGCTATGACAATGATAAGAATGATCTGAGCGGAGAAGTGACTGAACGGCCGAGCTGCGGGTACTCATGCGTTGAGAGAGACCACTTGAAACTCTTGCAGAGCCTCTCCGCTTTACAGAGCAAGTGCATCTGCGTGCAAAAATCCGTGCCAAAAACGCACAGGTTTGTCCATAAGCACTGCTGGAACCAAAAACAGCAGAACTAATCATGGCTGCAGACTCGCAATTTTCGCTTTCGGAGAAGGCTCCGTCTCCGAAGCGCCAGAAGTCCTTGCAGTCATCGGATGTGGTCTTTGACGACGACGAGTTTTCCAGCGTTACAGGTAGCTCCCGGCCAATTCGCAAGCCTACTGGATCCACGCTCTCTTCCGTGGCGTCGCGGTTTTGGCGCGCGGCGACAAGGGCTAGACCGATTGTCGCGGAAAACAGCGTCGAGGAGTTGCGTGCTGAAGTGGGAAAGTTGAAGCAGCTTGCGCGGGACGCAGCCACGCCGGTGACTTCTTGGTCGGAGAAAATCGCATCCGTCGCGGATGAAGAAGATCCAGAGGAGCAGGGAGTGGTCGACGTTAGTGGCAAGGACCCAGTAAATTTTCAAAACAAATTCTTCACATTTTTTCCCCGTCAGGATCAGGTCTTTATGGGTTCGCTTTTCTCTCGCATGAAGCGCTGCTATTGTCTGTGAAAAATCTTCCGCGATGAAAAAACATGCTGTGGAGCGTCTCCATACCACACTCAGGTGCCGACCGAAATTTCGGTGAAAAACGGACTGAATGCATCGATTCCCGACCCGGAAAGCGATACATCTCCGGTCCTCCTTCCGCCGTCGACGCTGACGGAGCACGGGCCGGCGGAGTTCCTGCGGGACAAGTCGTACGGATCCACACCGTCAGTGCGCAGCGACCCTTTGAATTTGTCGAAGAACAATGTCCCGAGCCGCGGAGGCAGCTCCCGCAGTGCGAGCAAGGAACTTACCACAGTTCTGACCGACATGCTCCCGGTACAGAATTCGACATCTCGGCTGGACGACAAAGCAGCGGAAGAGGAGTTTAGTAGCGGAACGGGGGAGGGGCACGATGAACATGAAGCAGCTGCCGGCCGGGTTGAGAATGAAAGCGCGTCGGTGACACAAATGCGCGCTGTGGACTCCGTCGATAGTAGCGGAAAAAACGCTCGCCACCATCCACCGCCCTCGTGGCCGTTCTCGCCGAGCCGGGGATCGCGGATTCTCGCAGCAGAGTGCGCGTCGGACCCGTATGCGACGTCGAAGAACATGTCGGCGTTCGAGGTGAATCCGCCGGTTTTCTACGGAGAGCAGAAAATGGACCCGGGCTTTCCCGACCTGGAGCCGTTGTCGGCTTCCTCGGCGACGTACGTGCTTGACGGAGAGGCAGAACCTCCACAAATGCGCGAAGACCCAATGACTGCCGCAGCGAGACTGTTTGCGACAAATAATGCGCTGAGCCGCGGCCTGGCGAGCGCGAGCACGCGCAGCGGCAGCGGTAACGAACAGGCAAGCAGCAGCAGCAGTAGTAGCGCGAAGGGATTTTTCTCCACCAGCACCTACAAAAGCGGACGCAATCTACGCTCCGGGTCGGCTGCGGCACCTGCTTATCGCGTGCCGGCGTATGACGCGACGCCACCGGTGGTGGTGCCGCCTTCCAGTAGTGTGGCGTCCCGATTACGCAAACCCACGCGGACAACGCAGAAGCACTTGCAGTTACGCAGCAGTGCGTCCGCGTCGCAGCTGCATACGACCGGTGCGCGGTACAATACTTCGTCGAGAGCAGTGGGCCATTTGGATCATCGCAGCAGAGTGCCATTGCACGAGACCGCCGCTCACTTTCTTCCAGCAAATTATGTTCATTCCGACAACCACTACCCTAGCCGGAGGATCCAATCCGGCTCCAACGCCAACATTTCCTCTTCCGCAACCAACTCCGTTTTATCCGGTTTTTTTTCCGAAGAATGCCGCGCGCAGCTCGCTGAAATGCACGGTGACTTCACGATTCCGGTCGAACTGATGCGGGCTTTGCTTGAGGAACTGGAGAGTCTGCATAAGCGAAACAGCCAGCTGCAGCAAGAGACGATGGAATTCAACGACACACAAGAACTCTTGCGGCTCCAATGTTCCGAGAACAAAAAAGAAACGGAGGACGTGGCGGCACGGCTGGCGAAGGCGAAACGCCAGGTGTTGAGTTTGAAAAAAACTCTCACAGAGAAGGGAGAACAAATTGAATCCCTACGGAAAGAGGCAAGTGTGGCGAAGGCAAAAGGTAAATGTGGCTGTGCTTTTCATGCGAATCTTCGGAAGTACGCACACTTGTTGTTCTTCGCGGATAAAGACTGAAAGTACAAGTAAATGCTAATGAAAACAACAGCTGAGCGCCCCGCAACCGCCCCGGTCCCGATTCAAATCGGCCTCAAGCGCACGAAGAACTGCGGCGTACAGACGGATTCGGCCTCCCGCACCGAAGACAAGTACCGCCTGGAGTACGAGAAGGCAGTGCAGGAGGTCCGGCGGTTACGCACGAAACTCGCCGCACAGAAGCTTACTGTGTTTGGAAATTTGACAAATAACCCGTCGGATGATACCACGGCAACTCTTGATTCGAATCAAAACCCGTCCAATGAGCAACTTGCGAAGGCGCGGGAAAATAATATCCACGTCGTGAAACTGAAGGGCGAAGTCGAAGTGCAGAAAGCGGAAATCGCCAAGCTTCGCAAGCGAAATTTCCAGTTGCAGCAAACTTTGAAAGTCCGCAGCGAGAAGCAAAAGCAAGACGCGATCCGGATTGACGCAGTGCCCGCTCCGAGGACTACACAGACAAGTTTCAGTAGCAAAAACCCATCGCCAATCAGCAACGCGGCCGAGGTGGACTACTCTATGTCTACTTTTGGCGCTTACGACTACAAAGTGAAAAGTGGAAGCAACTCGTTTGTGTCGCGCCGGGGGGAGCAGGAGGAACACAGCTCTTCCTTTCCGTTGAATAAATCTACAAATTCGGCTGAGGAATTATTTGTTCCAGCTATTGGCCAGCAGCACGACAACTCTACAACCTCCAGCGCAGGCCGTTTGCGACTGAGCGCGAACGGCAGCGGAATTCGGCAGGTGGTGAAGGCTGCAAATCCGTCGTCATCGTTGGAAAAGTTGCAAGACGAACGAGGATGCGGGGGCTCCGACACTGCTCTAACAAGCGCATCGTATCCGAAAGAAAAATCCAGCGAAGAAAAGGATCACTACACGTCTGCCGACATTTTGGAGCTTCTTGAGCACCGGAGCCGCGAAGAATCCTGGCGCACAGAGAGCGTCGTGCTGGAGTCCTCACCGAAGGACACGTTTGCGAGCAAGGGCAATTGTGTAAGTGCAGGACAAGGTCGTGGCGAGCTATCAGAAAAAGATGTTGGACCAGTGGCCATGCCAAAAATCAGAACCGCAGATGGACCCGTCGTCCTCGCAATGCAGAAAATTTTATGATAAGTAGGAGGATATTGTGATTGCGAGTCACGAATAAATTTGATACGCGAAATACTAAAGAAGTCGCGTTGCGTTCTCCTGCGATCGCCGTGCGCGAGCTGCCCTAGTTTCTGCAGTTGGAGGGTCATACGTGGTAGCTAGCCGCCGGAGGTTGTTCGCTATTTCAAGAAGTGGATCATCACATTGAGTGTGGTCTCCATTCGCTTTGTGCCTTTTGACGACTGTGATGGACGATCGCCTTCTGCCTTTGATCGTTCTCGAGAATCTTTACGCGCAGCGATCATATCTCGATTTGTGTTCTAGTAGAAGTGTTGTCTGTGGACTTGCGGTGCTTGGCATGTCGCTCGATCATTATCTGGGAAAGTAGATGATTATCACACTAGAAGGTTTATTGATGCAGAAAAATGTCGAAGCGGCAGCGACTGATTGAAGATGACATCGAGGAGGTCTCATCCAGCGACGAGGAAAATGTGGCATCTGCTTCGAGGCAACAGCCAGGAGCGCAGCCTACCACTGCAGCACCCGTTTCCAGCGCCGGGACGAGCGGGTTTAGTAGCTCTAGAGGTACTACTAGCGGAAGCGGAAGTACCCCACAGCATCACGGCCCCGGGCCGCCGTCCGCAGTGTTTCAAAATACCAACAGCCAATTCGCTCCGCCCGCCTTTCGACCTCCAGCGACCACCGGGCCAGTTACCAACACGTCGCAGTTCCGACCGATGCTGCCCCCGCCCATCATCCGAAACCCGGCTGGTGCGCACCAGGTGCAAAGTGGTGCAGGATTTTCGTCTTTTTTGCAGTCTCGCCCCGTTGCGCCGTCTGTAGTACCAGCAAACACGTCGCAGTTTCTTAATCCAGTGACCACTCCGAAGATGGGCGCTCCGGTGGCGATGTCACAGAACCATTTGGGCAAGAATAACCCAGCAGCATTTTCGACTGATGTGCCCTCGCAGCCTGGAGGAACTTCTGTGCAGCAGCAGCAGCAACTACAGCAGCCGTATCGAGACCCGCCCCGGGGCATTAGGGATGTGGAGTTTTTCACCAAGGCGCCCACAGTCGAGGAAATGCTGCAGCAGATGACGGGGATTACTAGACCACCGGTGGAAAACAATTACAGGGAGAGTACGGATTCGGCGCAAGCCGGGGCTGTGGCGGCCGCAGCAAGTGCTGCAACCCCGTCCTCATCGTCCGCGCTCCTTGTTCCGCAGATCACCCACCAGGAAACAGAAATGGAGCCTAGCCAAGGACAAGCGCAAGCTCCAGCTCTTCCCGTTCAACTCACCGAGGGAAAAAGTAGACATGCGTTCGGTACTGTTGGCGCGAAGCCCGGCGAGCCGGAGGATGTGGGCGGCGGGTTTCTGAATGCGCAGGCCTTCCGGTCCGGCCGGGAGTACATGGCGATGAAAAGCGCGCGCATGAAAGAACAGTTTTTGGCTTTTCACAACGACAGAATGGGCCAGGTGCCGGGGATGGAAGAGCAGCGGGTACTTGCCAGAGAGCGGCAAGAGCGGGACGCCGGTGCTGCGACAACTCTACCCGGCGAGCGGGACGCTACCGGCAAGAAAGTTCTCGTGCACGACCAATCGAGCGCCTCGTACACAAGTGAGATTTACAACAGTCGCAGGACCTATCACCAGGTGCGTACGGAAAGGATGAAGGAACAACTGGAGATACATCGGGGGAACAAGAAGAATTATGACGGAAAAATAGGTGGAGCAGAACTACGGGAAGATGCGAAGCCGGTCGTTCCTCAAGCGGCGCAAACCGAAATCAAGGACGAAGGTGCCGGTGATCCTGGCGCACCAGCAGCAACTAGCAGCAATCCGCTGGCTTCAATCGTGCGAAGACTAGCGAAGCAGGAGGAGCGCCGAGGGGGAGCCCTGATGCCGGGAAGTCGTGGCACCGACCATGCCGAGAATTCATCTGCACATCACCCGCCCGGTACTTCTGCAGCAGCATCCTCTTCCGCCGCGGCTGCACAGCGACACAAAAGACGACTGTTCCAAGGGCTGACGTTCTGGATGACGGGGCGGACGTCGACGTTGACCGACATGCAAATCAAGAAGATGATTCTGCAGCATGGCGGCGTCTACGAGCCGTACGGTATGACGCGGGTTTCGCACATCATCGCCGAGAACCTGGCGATGGGCAATCAGGTGTGGCGCGAGTACAAGGAGAAACGGGAGAAGAAGCGTTACAAGGTGGTGTTACCCGCCTGGCTCGAGGACTGCATCCGGGAAAACAAGATCCTGCCGGAGACGGAGTACTTGCCCGAAGTGTTGCGCACGAAAACCATCCAGACGGCAGCGGAAAAGCTTGCGGAGCTCGAAAAGTTGAGGCCTCCAGGGAAGCGGAAGAAGAACAAACTGAAGGAACTGGCAGAGGAGGCGGCGAGAAATAAGAAGGGAGAGATGGAGGTGAACAAAGGAGCAGCAGACGGCCAAGTAAAAAGTGAGGAAGGTGAGGAGGGGGAAAGCGTACCTGGCGGCAAGAAAAATAAATCCGCTGACGACAAAGCGACGAAAAATGAGAATGGAGAAACGCTGAAAGTGAAGACAGAACCTGGAAACAAGGATCTCGGGCAATCAGACCGAGCAGAAAAAAAACCTCTGACCGCAGCGGAACGCTTTTGGCTCGAGAAACTGGACGAGCCCGTTCAGTACATTTCCGTGGAGCCTTTTCCGGACGCCGCAGCTGAGAGGCGAAGGGTGCTGAAGCAAGTGCTGTCCAACAAGCGCGTGTTGCAGTCCTTGCAGGTGCAAGAACGTGAGGCCAATCGGCTGATTCACTTGCCGGTAGAGCACTTGTCTCAGCAGCAGCAGGTGGATCGTGCTTCTCATTCGAGTGGAAGCAACATCGCTGAAATCCTGCGCACTTTATCGCAATTTCCGCAAATTGCAAAGCTTAAGCTGAACGTAATGGGAGCCGTAGCGCCATCGCCGGAGCGAATGATGAGCGCGGCTGCAGAAGTCCCTGCGGCGGATGTGAACGTATCGAGCGGCTCTCTTGTGAGTGCGGTAAGCAGCCAGAATGGAGTAGTGGATGCAGCGGCAGTCCTGCTGCCTTCTACAGGTTCGACTTCTGGAGCAGGTTCCGCGCCGTCTCTGCTCCAACGAATGCAAGCGACACAAGGGAAACTTTTAACCCCGATTCCGGAGGAGGGCGAGCTTTCTTCTTCGCAAGGCAATACTAGCCAGCCGGGGGCGCAGCTAAAGCTTACAGGAGCCCCTGCAACATCTCAGCACGCTGACGAGCAGTCAATTATCAAAATTGAAAGAGATGCAAAGGACCCGGGTAGGGAGCTAGTGACTTTCAACGAAGACAATGAGGTGGTGCGGCATTTTGTGCAAGACATTTTCAACCAGAGCACCACCGTGAAGCAAACACGAGCGAGAATAATGGCTTTGTTTCAGCAGCAAGATAATGGTGCCGGGTCTCAACATTCAAAGCGAACATTTAAACATTTTTGCAGCGGTGCTCTGTGTGCGCCAGTTACGTTTGCAATTTGTGTTCCACTGATTTCAGTATGAGGCCAAAGATGTTGGCATTTTTCTACGGATCGACCGCCCTTTTTGATCGCTTTTGCAAATGGATCTAATTTTTGGATGTTGAGATCTGCCAAATCAGCTTCGACACAATCGATTTTAGTCTTCTACTCTGGAAGCCAGTCGCTTCACCCTCTAGTACCTTCGTCTCACGCATGAAATTTTTTCTAGTCCAGCAACAAGGCCAAGAGGGTTTATTTTTAGCAACCACTGAAGTAGTAAGGCTAGGGTTTCTTCGAGGGATGCGCATTCGCACAAAATGAGTGGCTTAGGTCTACACGTTTTTGTACAATTGTAAAGAATTCTTGTGCGACGTTTTTACATTTCGCTCCCACCATGCCAACCTTTATTCTCGGTGATTCAGTGCTGCCGATCACGAAGGCGAACAAATGGTGGACCAAAGTGGAAGAAGCGCCGCTGCAAATCCTCGCCGCCCGGGCGCCGTACCACTGCTATGTGGAAAAGCTGTACTACTGGAACATCAGCCCGCGCGCGCAGAAACTCGCACTGTGTCCCTTCAACATAAACGAAAGTGCGGGCCTGTTCTCGTCGACCTTTGATGCGGAGAAGACAGGTATACACAATTTGCGCTTGTTGGAAAACCAAGCATTTTTTTCTTCACGATTTTTGAGTTCTCTGTAGGTGAATGAAGTTTGGTATTTTGTTGTGCTCACCAATTCATTTTGAAGCATAACTCAGGTACTCCCTGTTCCTTCGCGTTCGTGGCCGAGAACACGGAAAATACGCTGCTTGAGCTGGAACTCAATCCACCCCTGTTGCTCAGACGGAGCGAAAACATCGGCATGTGGGACCAGGAGAGCGGGGCACTCAACGTCGTGTAAGTCTAGTAAAGTTGCTTGTTTGATGTTCCGCTCTGAAATTTTAATTTTTTTCAGATGTAGAAAGAGTGGTAATAATATTCAAAGGAATTCATGAAGCAAAAACACCTCAGGTCCACTTGGAAACGAACGTTCGCCGGCTCTTTCAGTGGCAGCAGCGATGACCATCTGGGCTACTTCCAAGCCTCCACACACCATTTTACCGGCGTGAAAAAGGTAAAGTCCTACCTTGCCTTATCATATGTAAAAACGTCCCCACACCAGAGTCAAGATGGGGATTTTGCAACACAAACCTTGAAGTTTGTGGGGTCACGCATGACAAGTTGCATGCTGTACTGTAGTGCAGCTTAGCAAGGGAAGCCGCATAACACATCCATCTCCTTATCCTGTTTGCAACATTACAAGTTCCAAAACACGATGGGAAATGCCTCTCATGGGGATGCGCATTACAAATGCTCCTGTGCTTGCAAATCTGCATGACAACTCTGGGGTGGGGATGTTTTTTCATAGGATATGCCTACAGCACCAACTGGTACGTGACCTTCCGGCGACTCACCAAGGAAGAGCTATGAACTGCAAAAATGTCTAGGTCTGGAACTTTGCTCGACTTGGCATGCAGGTTTTCCATGACCCCTATGATCTGTTAAGGAGGACCTAGCATGACAGATTCCGTGAGATCACTATCATGCCTATCCTGAATTAGAAACTGCCTCTCAACTTGGTCAAAAGTGGACAGCGTTTGGCAATCCTGCAACACAGATTTTTGCATGATGCAGATTTAGCATGACAAGTTCCAACCTTGCAGACCCACACATTTTTGCAGTGCATAAGAGCGGGACGCGAGCAAAAAGAAGAAAAAGCCCGAGAAGACGCAGCCGGTTTTGCAGCTTGCGAACAGTGACGAATTCGAGCGAAAAGCGAGCTTGCGAATTGCTTCACTGCAATCCGGCGACGCGAATTTGCGGAGGCATCCTCTAGTTCTCCAGCAAAGCGGCTGTACGAATTCTGCGGACGATCATTTGCCTGAGCTGCAACTCGAACCCGCGCCGGCAGGATACAAACCGAGGCCCGTCGCCGAGCAGCAGACCGCGACCTCCACTGGTGCAGCGACTCACAGCGCTCAAGAAACAAGCAGTAGTTCGAGTCAGAAGAAAGAGGGGAAAAGAAAGAAAAACGCCGCAAAGGAAGGCGAAGAAATATCAGGAGATCCGTCACTTCCCGGAGAAGGCAGCGACGACGCGGCGGTCTTCGAGAGCGAGCAGATAGAACCTGCTCCTGTGTCGCTCAATGACGTGACGCCGAAGCCAATGGAATGCTCGGAGGAGTCAACGGTTGATGACGAGATGAACACGACACCGGGGTTGAGCACCTCTATGTCACGGGAGGAAGAGGAGAATCAAATACCCGAGATCGCGGACTGAAATTTTTTGACGACTTGTTTTCAATCATTTTTCGCACAAATAAACCATATTCACCACCTAGCGACAGCATAAACATTTGACAGCAAAAGTGCTAGTATTTTTGCCTCCTTCGCTTATTTCAAATAGCGAAATGAGATGTGTGACGTTGCCTGCTCATGTTCATCTCTTTTCCAGTAAACTACTTATACTCCAATGATCAAGCGCGTCTGTGTAAACAAAGAACCTGAGAGTTGTGTTGAGAGCAGATGGAAGGTGAGATGACTTGGGGCAGGTTTGTTTTTGCCTCGCGGAGTGGCTGCTTACGAAGACAAATTGAGAGGGTCATATCTGTCGTTCAGCGGAATGTGGTACTACTTCGCAAAAAAAAATCTATAAAAATGTTCAATAAATACTCGTAGTTGTTTCATCCCAGCAGGAATTCTTCGAATTTCGACCAAAGTGTAAGAGAAAGGTATAAGAAACTTTTGGCGACTCGTCCCAGCGGCGCACCGTAGCCATGGGGGGTTACAAGCAGTTGCATCACATGTGGTTTAACCGCTACGTGATGGGCATGTGGGCGACGGGCTTCATTTGCAACTGGGCCACGGACCAGTGGTATCACATTCCGCGCGATCGGGTACTGGATTTTCTACGCATGCTATTTGCTTCAATTTTCAACTATTTTGAGAAAAGTGCAGAAAAGAGCTCGCGTTGCGCTGTCGTTGAGAACAAAAGAAAATTGCGCCTCCAAAACGATGAAACACGACAGAACGCAAACATCCGTTGGCAGTATTGGATGGATCTTTGTAATGCGAAACGTGCGGGGGAGATCGATCCGACGATGCCTGGCTATATGGCCATGAAGTGGATTATGGAACTGTCAGGATTGAAATTAACAAAGTTGAAATAATTTGTGATGCATAAAATCTATACCAGTTGGGCCCACAGTTTCCAATCGGCGCATGACAAATTTTCCTGGTCTCTGAAGCAAGTCTGTCATGCTGTTTAGGGCAAGATGGCTGCTCCCTGTCATGCTAGTCAGCAACCCAATTGCTGACCCTTACCAGCACTAGAATCTGCCTCCCTTGCGCCTTCAGCAATAGAGTCAGTCTTTGTGTCGCATTTTATGCATGGCAAATCATTTCAACTTTGCCGATTTCAACTCTGACACATCCATATGGATTAACGATCGTGAAAGTATCGAAGGAAGCAAAAGCCTGTCACTTCTCAATTTGCAACTACGATAGGCATCATGACAAAGAATTGGCTCCGGCTGAGTCTGTCTTCGGCATGGGCGAAAAGCACATGATCTTGCAAGTGACACGGTTTTTGCCACGCATACGGGAAATTGCATGGGAGAACCACGGTATACACTGCTACGTTTTTTGTTTTATGCTCCGCAGAAGTTTTACTGCAAGCATGATCAGTGCCAAAGGCGCCGCATTTTTGAAATCATGATCCACAAACAGCTCGCGAGTACCCCGGTTTTGAGATGCCCGAAAGCTAGATGCGAAAAGAGGGTTGACGAGTTATGGGTCCGTACAATGCAACCAAGAAGAAAAAGTAAGCACAGAGCATGAAGAGAAGGGTAGACATAAACCGCTTGGTGATGTGCATGATGCAATCAGCGCTGCTTGATTCGCAACCTTTTGCAGCAGCACTCGCTTGGCTTGCTTGAAAGAAGATGAAAACTCAGCATTTACTAGGAGGGACATGGATGGCGATTGCACTGGACGCGAGTGTGCGTCTCATGTCGCCTGGAGATCGCCGAGTTGGTGTCGTCAATAATATTTGGCAGATGTTCTTCATTTTCAGAAAGAAATACGGCTGTTGTTTTTTTTCGCGATTAGAACTGAAAAATTTTTGCCAGCAGATTTTTATACAGAGCAATTTTCTTTTCCTGTTCGTTCCTGCCTCTCCGCATTATTGCTTGCAGCACTGCCCCATCATGGTATAGCCAAGATGTTGCTCTCAACCAGCGCACTCTCATCCGCCCTGCCCGAGGTGTGTGCGGTTCTCTTCGCATACCTTTGTGTGCAGTTCGGGCGGATTTCGAAGCCGAAATCAAGGGCCGCGGCCGCTACGCTTTCCCAGAAAGTGGAGAAGAAATCGAAAAGGAGCTCCTCCACCGCGGACGAATCTGCTGCCGGAGCGGAAGTTGAAAAGCCGCAGTCGCGCAAGCGAGTCGCGCTCAAATGGCTGTCGTTCGGACTCTACCATGCAGCAATTGCTTATCTGGTCCTCTGTGCGGTTCCAAGCCTACAGAGGTGGCTTTTTCCGGTTTTTCACGACCGAGTCGGAAGTCAAACGGCACCGATGGCGACAGCAGCAACGATTTTCGCGGTGAACGCGATCGCTTTTCACAGCCTGTGGCTCTCCGGTTGGCACCACCGGGTAAACTACGAGCTCGCAATCAGCAAGTACCTACCACCCGGCGGCGTCTGGAAAGTGTTTTCGCTCTTGCTTGTCTACCTTTTCGCACCGGAATGTTGCAGTATTGGCCTCGGCAGCGACAACATAATTGTGGAAGATTTGATGTCTGGGGAGAAGCTGTACGCTACTCTGCACAGCTTCATCGCGACGGATTCCGTCACAATAGCCATCACCGTGGTGCTGACGCTCGGGACAACGGCAGTGCTGTTACTCTGGCACCGGTGGGCGAAGCTAGACTACAGCGACTTGGCGATCAAGAATACGAGGATTCTGAATTTATGCTCGGTGGCGTTTATCAACGGCTACGTGGAAGAGGTGGTTTTCCGTGGGTTATTTCTGCAGAAGATGTTTTTTCACTTCTACAAGTGCAGTGCCGGATCTTCATCAACAGCAGTTCTTTCGCTTGACCGAACTACAGCAAACATGTACACAATCGTTCGAGAAGAGGAGGGGGAAATAAACTTCGGAGAAATTTTCTTCCACCGACCGTTCACCGCCTGGGGCGTCGCAAGCGTCCTGCAGGCACTGGTTTTCGGCTGTCTTCACTACCACGGGATCCCCAGTGGCTTTGTCGGGGTTTTCCTCACGTTCATCTACGGCTGGATAATGGGGGCGCTGGCCATGTACGGAGGCAGTATGCTGCTACCGGTTTTGCTCCACACCGCAGCGGATTTTGTTATTTTCTACGCCATCGTGTAGGTGGTCATGGACATGGTTGATTTTGGTGCCCAGACAGTTTCTCGCCCACCTAGAGGCGAGCACACATGTTGGTTTTCCAAGATACGCAGCAAATAATTAAGTTGTAACCATGTCGAGACAAGAAGCCGTGTTTGTACAGTATGGCCTCGACAAGATGATGCTGGTGCAGTTGCCGAACAGATGTGAACTTGTTTCCGCATTGCAATATGATGTTTCCGCTTCACCAAAGGTGAGAGGAGTACATCTAGGTCGTTACCATTGTGATATAGCAAGAAGCCAGATAGACTGCTGATGTGTGTTCGAGGCGGAAATTTTGATGTCGCATGTGGACGGAAGTAAAAAGCGTAGCTACAAAGCGTGAGGAAACGGTAACGGACGATGAGATGTGAGTCGTGGTTCCAAAAACGAAACGCAAATTCCGATGTGTGCAAAACTCTAGAAGTGTGCTAAGAGTAGGCCGCGAAACATTTCTCTGATTTTGGCTTCAAAAATAATTATGAAAACCTAGCAATTATACTACATCAGTTTCAGTTGTCAAGAAACTCGTCGGTCGTCACAGACCTCCTTGTGACTAGCAGCAAAATGTCTCGCGGCAGCCCGTTTTCGTAGGAAGCCCTGCAGCTACATTCCGTGCGACTCCGGTCTGCTAGACAGCTAGTAGCTTCGATTGCAGCGACGTATACCAGATCTAGCGAGGCGCTCCTGCGAAGATGGCCGGCATCGGAGATCAGGTCGGTGAGACCGTTCAGAAGTACCTGGTGGAATTCTTCGAAAAGTTCGGGGCCGGAGAAGATGGGAAGGGGTAAGATACAAGATCTGCTTTTGCCTACGTGGTGTTTTTGCATAGATAAAGATGGACTCAGATGAATGTGAAGATTCAAAAATGTCCCGCCACAATTAAAGAAATCCCCCCGCCCACTTCCAAAAAGGTACTACTACGAGAAGGTGTGCGAGATGGTGGACGAGCAGCAGAAAACGCTGTACCTGAACTACCAGCACCTGGACCAGATTGACGACGCCAACATGAACGAGGCCAGCGGGAATCAAAACCCCAATGCGTTGACGTTTGTGATGAACGATTTAAAAGAGGTCCTCCACTATAAGTACTACGACGCCCGGAAGTACCTCGACCAAGCCGTGCCGCAGTTTATGCGCTACGTCGGCGACAACGAGGAGAAGGTGGCAAAGTACGTGTCCGAGGGAAAATCCCAGGCCTGGGTGCTGGCCGTTTTCAACTTTTCCACCAGGACGCCGCTGCGGGACCTGAACATGATGCACGCGGGCCAGTTGCGCGAAATCAGTGGCACGGTGACCCGCACGACGGAAACGAAGCCCGAATTGCTCGTCGGCTGCTTCGACTGCAGTATATGTTTTGATACGATGACAACTTCTCGAAGGGCTAAACAGCACGGAGAGCCGTTCTTCCAGATTTGTAATGCAAAACGCGCAATCTTCCCGCTTTCGCTTTTGCTGTTTTAGCATTACACATTCACGTAAATAAACCTCAGATTCCTGCGGCACCGAGATCACCAATGTGGTGCAAGAGTTCAAATACACCCTCCCCGTCCGCTGTACCCAGAACGAGTGCGGGAACAAAAGGTCTTTCACGTTGAAGCCCCAGGCCGAGGGCACGGAGTACGGGGACTGGCAGCGGGTCCGCATTCAGGAGAGCGAGCACGACATTCCGGCGGGCAGCATGCCGCGCACGTTGGACGTGATCGTGCGCGGGGAGCTGTGCGAGAACTGTAAAGCCGGGGACAAGATCGCAATTACCGGGTGCTTGATCGTGGTTCCGGACGTGCCCAGCTTGATGAAGCCGGGCGAGATGAAGCAGAGCATACGAAGAGACGTGAACCGGAGGCACCGAACGAACTACGTGGAGGGAATCAAGGGGTTGAAAGACATGGGCGCGCGGGAGTTGACATACAAAGTCATGTACATTGCCTCCGTGATCCGCACCGTGGACCAGGATTACGAAACGCTCGGTAACGTGGACGATCAAAAGGTCGCCGGGTTGAGACTGACACCAGAAGAGGCGGAGAGGATGGCGGAATTGTCGAAGCACGTACTTACATACAAAATTTTGATGTCAACAAAATAGCGACACCGTTGCCGCACTAATCGTCGGTAGTGTCATGTTGATGTGTCATGGGATAAATCGAGAACTGTAAAGGCTGATTTTCTTAAAACTACAACACACGACAGACCAACATCAAGGGCGAGCCAGACACGTTTGATGTGCTCGCGCGGGCGATCGCCCCCAACGTCCATGGGCAGATGTTCACGAAAAAGGGGCTGCTACTGCAGATGATCGGTGGCGTTGAGAAGAAGACACCCGAGGGGATCAAGCTGCGGTCGGACATCAACGTGTGCATCGTCGGCGACCCAAGTACCGCGAAGAGCCAGTTTCTCAAGTACGTGGCGGGGTTCATGCCGCGAAGCATCTACACCAGCGGAAAAACCAGTACCGCAGCAGGTTTGACTGCGTCGGTAACAAGGGACGAAGATGCGCGCGATATGGTCATCGAGCCAGGAGCGTTGATGCTCGCGGATAATGGTAAAATGCATTTGATGATGTTGAGAGTTACTTTGATTCCAGGTTTTTCGAAGTCCTTGTGGTCTGATGCACTGCGGATAAGCATACGAATCTGCTGGACTTGGTGCCTTTCTGTATGCAAAACGAAGAGAACATGTTTATCATGCAATAGGTATCTGCTGCATCGACGAGTTCGACAAGATGGACCCGAAGGATATGTCTGCCATTCACGAAGCGATGGAACAGCAGACCATTACCCTGGCCAAGGCGGGCATCCACGCGACCCTCAACGCGAAATGCTCGGTGCTCGCGGCGGCAAATCCAACGAAGAACACGTATATGCTTCAATACTTCGATGCGAATTGTGAGAGATTCTTATCTTTTGAGTCTCGTAGTAATATTCACATGTGTAGTATATGAATACGCGATGTTCGTGGCGGGATGGACCCTTGCTCGAACATGACTTATTAACACAGGTACGACACAAGCAAGGACTTGTTCGCCAATGTGAGTATGACGGCACCGATTCTATCGCGTTTCGACTTGTTCTTTTTGCTGCTCGACCGCCCGGATGATGAAGCCTTGGACCAGCAGATCGCGCAACACATTATCATGATGCACGCTTGCTACGACGAGCCAGAGAAAGTTGAAACCACGGAGGACGATGTCACGCAGGAGGAACTGAGAAAGTATATACTTATGTATGAGATAGGGCCTCTTGTTCGTTCTTCCAAGTATAGTCAGCTTGTAGTTCGACGGCACGGTGGTTGTACCCGCGTGCAGTGTCATCTGTAGTTATTTCATGTAGAGACTAAAGAAAGTTTAGTGACAAATCCCCACTCCCTCCCGCTTCGCAGGTACATCCGGTCCGCCCAAACGTTGAAACCCGCGCTGAGCCAGGAATCACGGCGCATGCTGGTCCGCGCGTACAAGAAGCTCCGGCAGGAGACGCAGCGACGACCGGGCGCCTACAGTGTTACAGTCAGGCAGCTCGAGTCGCTCGTGCGATTGTCTGAAGCCATTGCGCGCGTCTACATGGACACCCACGTGAAGACGCAGTATGTGGAAGAGGCTTTTGAGTTGATGATGCAGTCCCAGGGCGAGGGGATCGGTGGCGAGATCGACTTAGAGCCGGATGAGGAAGAGCAGGAGGAAATTCGGAAAGAGCAAGAAGCTGCCGGGAATGTACCGGAGGAGCAAAAAGACGGACCTTTACCGGCCGGCAAGGCGCCGAAGCCACGGCAGCGGGCGCTGGAATTCGCGGAATACAAGTATGTCAATACGGGCTTTTTCGAAAATGCATTTTGTTGTATGTCTATGCTCATAACGTGATCGTGTTGCTGTTGCTTGCTGATAGTGAGTGTTTCCGTTTCGAACAATTCGCGGTCCAAAAAATCCGAACTACCAACAGGCAAATCGTCTCCGTGTTGATGTCAAAGCTGGAGGAGGTAGAAGTGGAAAACGAGGACGGCATCGAGGAGGAGGACTTGATTATCAAAAGGAAAAATCCCCCCTCCCCATATCAAAACGGAAATTTGTAATGCAGATTTGTTGTCACAAATCAGCTTTGTCATGCTACACGGGAAAAGATGCGGACTGTAGTGCTGGGTGGCGTGGCGAAGCCTTGCATCTTCAGCATGAGAGGAGGCATCTGAGAGTGGGAAACAGCATGACAAATTGTCTGCAAACGAGGCAACGACTGCGGCTCTTGGCCTTCTAGCATGACAAATCGATTTGTGACCTCAAATACAGCATCACAAATTTCGTTTTCGATATGGGGAGGGGGGATTTTTCCTTTCGATATTGATCGGTTGGTATTTGGAGCAGCTCGAGGACGAGATCGAAAACGAGTCCCAGCTGGCGGTATCAAATGTAAAAATGTCTGGGTCTGGAAGAATGCAACTTGTCATGCTAAATCTGAAGCATGCAAAAATCTGTGTTGCATGATTAAGTACAAAAAGTCGTACAGTTTTGACCAAGTCGGGAGGGAGTTTCTCATGCAGGATAGGCATGAAAGAGATCGCACAGAATCTGTCATGCTAGGTCCTGCATTCCAGGCTTCATGGGTCTTGGAGAAGCTGCATGACAAATCGCGCATTTTTCCAGACCCAGACATTTTTGCATTTGATAGGCGGAAAGGGAAAACCAAACCCGGATGATCATCCGGCGTATGATCAACAAGGAAAGGGTGATTCTCATTGCCGAGGAGAATCCGGAGGACCCGCGGAGGCACAAACTGAAGAAACACCCGAACTTTACCATGCTCAGCACCCGCGGCGGGCAGGCGCATTTGCGATAAAGTTTTTGGAGAATGAAAATTGTTATTGTTGCGCAAAAAATTTTCTCGTTTTAGCCAAAGCGCTGAAGCAAAGTTTTATTTGAAGTAGCTCTAGAATCGTGAGAAGAAGGATATACATTTACCCGGATGCCACGAATCCAATATCAACAAACAAAGCAAAGCTTCACGCTCGCGGAAAGCGAGGCGGGTGGTTAGGTTTTTTTGGAATCATTGACATTCCGTGGAGGTGCTGTTGTCACACTGCTCTTGAATGATTTTTCCTCTTTATCAACAAATCTATTGTGCGCCAGATTTCTCATCTGGCAAGCAAGATGCACTTGGATGCGTCTACCTGAATTTTTCCTCTGTGCATGAGAACGAAAGTTCGCATTTATTTTGACTGAAATCATAAGTGTTTCAGTCGAGGAAACATGATGAAGTTTTTTATGTCTGCAACTGTCGCTGAAGCGCAGGCGCACTGGTGGAGCACAACTACCTACCCCTTGCACCAAAAGACATGTGCCTCAGTGTTCATCGCGACGTCAACAAAGCCCAGTGTCGGTCAGAATTAAGTCAATGGCTCCTGGTCGAAAAGTTGAAATTTTTTGCTGATCCGGTTTTCTAATTTTGTGTTTGCAAAAACTGTACCTGCTTTCGCTTTGCACATCACTGGTTTTTCGACCATTTTGCACTTTACGTTCTGTTATGCTCACGCACTTTTCTCTTCTTCAGGAGCCATCTGGTTACAGCCACACATCTTATCAAGTACTATTGCACGTCGACCCATCATGAACTACAATCAGTCTCTGCTTTACCACGTTTTCTATACGACCTAATTTGTTTGTCGAATATACTAGAAATAAAAAATGTGATAGTCATTACTTTTTGACGACTGACCCATTTACCAGTGGTCAGGATAAAAATATCCACTCCCGGGGAGGTTCTTTATCGAGCGAAAAATGGCGTCGCCCACGAAGGACGACGGCAAGGCCGTCGCGCGGGCGATGAACAACCTACAGGCTTTCGCCATGCTCGGCCCCGGCATTCTGACCAACACAATGAGCTACGGCGTCGCTCCGGAAACGGGGCAGGACTCAGAGCTCCCAGACGCGTCGCCCACCAAGGAAGAAGAACCGCCGGAGGTGACAAAAGCTGCTGACAATCTCCCGGTGATGAAACCTGGTATCAAAATCCGCCTAAAGAACAAAAGCGTGTTGCGGTTTTCTATTTTTTCTTGTTGCCTTTCCGGCGTAATTAAGTAGCTGATTTCGATGTATACCACACAGTAAGTCTCCACAGACATTCACATACCAATGTCTACTTCGCGTGTTGAAAATACCTACCCAGGCCCCGCAGTCAGCCGAGACCAGCTCCTAGAGCTGTTGAAGGAACTCGACAGCTACAAACCCACGGCCAAGGAGGTGACAAAGCTAGGAGCACAGCTCATAAAAGAGGGCTCTTCAAAGCTTTCTTTTATACAGGCGTGGGAGAAAATCGAGGCACTGGGACTGCCACCGGATCCATTTGACAAGTATAGTAGTTTTGGTTTTTCTACTGTTTATAATTTCTGAGCCTCTATTACATTAATGTGCAAGTCCATTTGGTCAGAGACCTGATTTACAACGTGCCGTTGCAAAACAACTATCGCGAATAAACAAAACACAGGCACAACCTGTCGGAGGCTCGGTTTCAGGAACTCTTGAGCCAGTACGTGAACGACGACGAAGTTTGCAACAAGGCGAACGCCATTATGCAGAAGATGCACGAACCCGTGTTGGATGCAAACCGTAGCAAAAAGGATCTGTCCCCGGAGCAGGTGGTCCAAATTCACAAGCACATGATCGACGTTCTGAAGGATACCATCACGGAATTTTCCGCGCTGCCCCGGGAAAGGAGACATAAGTTCTCGGCGAAGCAAACGGAGACCGTGTCGGAACTGTTGGTTTCTATGTCCGTGGAGCGGAAGTTTGGAGCAAATTCTGACGATGTGGAGGCCGGGTTGATGAAGTATGAATACTTGATGAACTCTGAGCAGGGCGGAGGACAATTCGCGGAACTCACACAGCAGCTGCAGGGTATGAGACTTTACTTTTACTACTTGCAGCTTTAGATAGTATTATTTTTCGTAGGATGATAGATGAGATGCATCGACATTTATTTTGATCGAGAAGACGACGGGCTTCTTGCAACAGAAGCCGAGAAAAGCAATGAATCACCCCACTTATCTTGATCGATCATTTTCCTATCAGGTTACATGTCTGTGCTGATTTCCCACGCAAGGCCACGGCTTACTGCGGAGAATTTCCGAGGGCTGCTGGCCGAGCTGGCCAGACAAAACAAGAAAATGAAATCAAACATGTCCGAGATGTATGCCGCGTGGAGCGTATCCTGTGCAAAAACATCTCCACCCCAGAGTTGTCATTCAGATCTGCAAGCACAAGAGCATTTGTAATGCGCATCCCCATGAGAGGCATTTCCCATCGTGTTTTGGAACTTGTAATGCTGTGAACAGGATAAGGAGATGGATTTGTTATGCGGCTTCCCTTGAAAAACTGCATTACACTACAGCCTGCAACTTGTCATGCGTGGCTCCCAAAACTTTAAGGTTTGTGTTGCAAAATCCCCGTCTTGACTCTGGGGTGGGGACGTTTTTACAAATGATATAGGTCCGAAACCTCTTCCGGCTCGATCTTCACGATCGCCCCCGCCGCGGCTTCGAACACTTGTATGGGAGTGTCAGGATCGAAATCGTCAAAGTTGAAATAATTTCTCATGCATAAATTGCAAGGCATGAAGTGCCTCTCTTGCAGGGATGGCAAGTGAGGCCGACTGTCAGCCAGTTTGGGGTCTGAGATAGAGCTGCTGAAGTGCATGACAAAAGACGCCTTCTGTCCCTAAACAGCATGACAAACTGGATTTAGACGGTGCCGAAATTTGTCATGCGCCACTTGGAAACTGGGCTTTCAACTGGTATCGATTTCATGCATTACAAGTTCTTTCAACTTTGTCGATTTCAATCCTGACACATCCATAACTTGGGGCTCCCTGTCATAGTGAAAATTTGATAAGTACAAAGTTTGCACAAATGTACTTGCCACAAGTAGTTGTTGAACGCGAAAACCAAAACCGCCAGCGCGAGCGCCGCGCGAAACGCGGCATTACAAACACAAACTAAAAATAAAACTTGCGTGGTCTTTCTCGCATGACAAATTGTTTCATCATGATCATGTGAATGAAGTCTATTCCAATTTTTTGTACGGACGACGAGAAAAAAACATTCGTGATCGGTATAGGGAAAAAACGCAATACGCCAACTTCACCCGGACCATTTCGTCCTCGTCGATAGCGAAAGTATTCCACTCCGGCACTGCGATGTAGCACGCTTTGTAGTAGTCCGACGCGAACCGGCCCTCCTGAAACCTCGTTTGCATCTTATGCAGGAAAAAAACTATGTACTGATGCAGAAAATGCAACACAGTTACACTTGTCATGCTGGAAGTGCGTCATAGCCGTGCTGCATACTGTTTTCACGTACTAGCTGCGCATTACAGGGTGTTTCTGTAATGCAAAACGAATTTCTTATGCTGCCCTAGCTACAAAGTTACGCTCACACAGTTTTTTTCACGGATACATCTTGGCGTTCTTGCACTGTTCCGCGTCGATTTTGTAGCCGATCAGACGAAAGGAATCCGTGAGCACGCAGGGGTAGCGGCTTCCCTCCCCGGTCTTCGTGTTCTCATACAGTTCGGCCCGGAGAACGTATGGCACCACGCTGCCGTCGGCCTTCGACATCTCGAAGGGACTGGACTCTTTCACGAGCTCGAAGGTCGCGGAAGTAGTTTTCCCGGTAGAAGGAGTTGCCTTCTCTTTATTTTCGCCGTCTTCGCCTTGCTGCTTCTCGTCATCCCGTCTTGTTTCCTTGATCCTAATCCGCTTCGTGCGCTGCAAAGATTCTTGTTCTTCTACCTGCTCCCTCGTGCTGGTCGCGACCGTTTCCTTTTTTTCCCCGACCGCCAGCGCCGCGGAGGGGTTGTAGTACTCTGCGTCACTTGTGACCGCGAACGGTGCCGTCCTGGTGTCGCGGTCGACATGATGATCGGGCTCGATGCGATTTACCACTGTGGCGCTCGTCTTCCTACTAGCTCCACTTGTTTCTCTTGCCCTTTCATCGTGGTAGTTTTCTGGTCCCGCGAGGCCACCTGCTCTTTGTTCACCAGACTCATCATGGTTCGCGGACAATGAAGGTGGACTGGCTTTATTTTTTCCCACGAAAAGGCTCTCGTCGTCATCTTCCGTCGGCTCGAAGATGTCCCGGAGCTGCACGGGTTCTCGGCGCAACATGCGCCTCCGCTCGGCGGCGACGAGAAAAAGGGTAGGTGTGGCATCGTTCTGCGTCGAAGGCACAGGGTTGGAGAGAAGC